ACTTTGGGAGGAGGAATGGAAAAGTTTGCTTATCATGTAGAAGTAGTGGGAGGAATGATACCTTTTACTAACTCCTGAGCCTTAGTATCAAAATAATCATGGAAAAAAAACTAATTCAACAAGAACAAGATGCTATCCATTACATAGATAAGAATGTAATTGAACCCCAGCAAAATAACTCCCTTGCTGTTCAGGGTTTATGACAGGAAGCACTTTTTAATTATCTAAAAGACCAAGCCCTTAATTATATTGCCACAGCCTTACGGCATTTAGTGATTAATCACTTAGTTAGCCGACTGATTATTAGGAAAGTTAGAAAGTTATTTACTTGCTAAATACCAAGAGGCTAGTGAAGAAGAAAAAGAGTTATTTAAAAAAAAGGTGTTAGAAAAGTTTTTAAAGAAAAAAGGGGTAAAGAGTTTAGCCGAAATAAAGTAATATTATGAACTACCGAGAATTACAATTAAGACAAATCATTAAAAGAGATTATGTCCCTAAAAAAGAGTTAACTGAATTAAAAGTGGAACACCAAGGACAATTAAGAGCCATTAATCTCTTATTTGATGCTAAGGTTGGAAGTTATGAAAGGATTGATTTTAATGGTCTTTATTCTCTGTTAAAACAAATAGCAGAGAGAGAGAGAGAGAGAGAGAGAGCCAAACCAACCCAAATAATCATCACCAAAACCCTGATGAAAAAGAAAGAGTAATTAATCCTATTTTCACTAAATATAGAAAACAAAAGAAATATTAACCATGACTAACAAACCCACTCAAAAAGACCTCTGAAAAGCCACCCAACTAGAATACTTACACAATTGCTTTATTGGCATCTCTCATTTAACTTGTTCTAACCCTGATTGCCCCTTAGTTCTCAATTGAGGAGAGATTGAAAAAAAACAATCTAAAAAAGGAAAATGTGCTTTTTATCTAGTCTCTCAAAAAGATAATAAATGAATAGTAGTAGATTTAGAAAAATATGAGGAGAATGATTTAGGAGGGTTCGACAATATTGAAATTAAGTTTAAGTCCGGTAAAACTCAACGAACCAAACCTACTAATTATGTCGAACCCAAGCAACCAGCCGGCATGTTCTCTTTTATAAAAGGACTTATTAAGGAAGAACCTAAACCCAAAAAAGAAATCTTTTTAAAAGATGAAGAAATAATTTTATTCTTTAATAACTCTAATAAAAAACCTAATTTGGAAGATGCCGAGGATATTTATCTAAATGATTTATGAGATATTAAAGAAAAAACTAAATGGGACCGAGAGAAAAGCAAGAAAAAAGTATTCTTACATGTCGAAAATGAAGTATCCGAAGACATTCAGGCTAAACAATTAACCGAAGCCGAAAAGGACTACCTTTTTTACATTGCCAACCCAGATATTACCAATGAAATTAAAAAGATGGAAATTTACTCTCCTTCCAAAGGAACTGAAGAAAGAGATAGATTATATAAAGATTTTCATGAGGAATTAAGTGAACTCAAAGAAGTTTACGGTATCCGACATAATCTCCAAGCCAAAGAAGAAAGACAAAACAACCCAGAAATAGACATCATTAAATCCCCCTTCTTAGCCTTAGAAAGAGATAAATGACGAGAACGAATGAAAAGTATTAAAGATTTTGAAAATAAAAAAGGCTGTGAGGGCATCCATACTCTATCTTATGGCAGTTTAGGAGAACATCAGCAAGAAATATTATTAGAAAAAGAAGTGGAGAATTTGGAGGATGATGAAGAGAAGTCGGAACAATCGGAACAAGAAAAAGAAATCCCCAAGAAGGAAATATTAGTAAATAATCATGTTGGAAAAAATTAATTGCTGTAATTTAGCCCTCATTGCCTTTGTAGGAAATATCGTTCAATTAGTCTTCTTTTTTAACTATTCTCTAAAACTGAAAGATAAAAGTGTCGAATTAGAAAAACAAGAAAAGCAACACCAACAAAGGATAAAGGAGTTAGAAAAGAAAAACGGAACCGAACAAAGACAAATTGATGAACTAAAAGAAGAAATCAGAAAGTTAAAAGAGAAGAAATAATCTTATGAATAAAGACCAATTACAACAAGAATTAAAAGAAAAAATCCAACCAGGAGTTAAACCCAGTGATTTAAAGCAGCAACAAAAAAATATTATTCCGACTTTTCAGACTAACGACCAATTATTAACTCCCCCTCCCACTCCTCCTTTAAAACCAAGCCAAAAGGAAGATTTACCACCCCCGATTGAGGAATTAAGTTGGAACAGCAAAACAAAGTCGGAACAACAAAAAAATAAAGTCTGATTAGAAAAGAACCAAGAATTACAAAACCAAGTCCAATATTGGTCTAATATAGCTGCTAATTATTTAAAAAGT